TGTGTGTGTGTGTGTGTGTGTGTGTGTGTGTGTGTGTGTGTGTGTGTTGGGGAGTTTTCAGGTCAGGAAAGAGCGGCTTGTGCGCACACTTACTTTTGACCAAAAGGGTGAACGTGGCCCGGCGCCACCTTGATGGAGCTGAGGGTCTGATGGCTGTTATTCATGGCCTGTAGTAAAACCTTTAAAGTCAACCTGTGAGCTACATTTTATTCAGCATGTATGTAATGTCGCAGCTGTAAAATGAATGCTCCATGATTCGACACAGCTCTGCTAAAGATAGACCACCTCGAACACTCCTGTCCAGATTGAGCTTCAGCAAGGACGAGTCATTAGCACACATTTGTTCTTCGCTGTAAGAGAAAGGCAGCCAGGGTTTTGTCCGACTCGTGGATCCAATTTGAAGAGGTTTCTCACTGTCAGCAGCTTTCAGTCCCCCGCCCCTGATGCTCTAATTAAGGGAAGGTGTTTTTGAGAGATAGTCAGTTGAAGCACAAGTAGATCACTCTGAAAATGAAAGAACTTTGAACAGCAAAACACGCTTGGTAACGCTGTCTCTAAGGCTCGAATAACACACAGTGAAGACACCCGAAGGTTGTGTTAACACTGACCTTGTGTGCAGACCAGTGTTACCCAGTAACAAGTAGTGTGAGGGATGACGATTTCATACATTACAGTTATTAATCCAAGTCATGTTACGTTACTGTGCTACCAGAACGCGGTTATCTGTTTGTGCCAGGTGGGTTTATGTTACGATGACGGAACATGGCAGCATGTGAAGATGAATGTGGCCTCAGCAGACGGCCACTCGTCCCTACGGAGAGGAGAGGAAACCTTTCAGCTGTGGAAGTATCGTCCTTATTTAGAGTTTGTCTCAGTCAAGGATGCAAAGAACATTACGTTGTCCATTGTATACTTTACTGTTACTATATTACTTTAAAAGTAATATACCAAGTAAAATGTAAAGTAATACTACTTTACTTAAAGGAGTAATAAGTCAAATAGTATCTCATTACACTTCCTGATGCACACATGTGGTGAAGATGTGATGTATCAGATAAAGCGGGTATTTCCAACAAATAATTAAACATATTAGTAATTTTCTACACGTGTGTGTGTGTGTGTGTGTATATGCCATCAGTTGTGCTAGAAAGTACTGGCAACTTGTCCATGGTGTACTTTGTACCTCACCCAGTTGCATGCTGGGCAAGGCTCTGGAGCACCATGGCCGTGAACAGGAAAACACGTTTGCAGGCTGGTTGGTTGCCACATAGGTTTTGACAGAGAATGATTTCTTGTGTTGCAGTGTTGAAGTCAATGCAATTTAGACACATTTCAGTCAACTTTGAATGAAGAAGCAAACGCTGTGTAGCAGCACGAGCAGTCGGCCCGCAGCGAGCCTCTACCGGCCGCTGTTCACTTCTGTTGCTGGATGTAAGAACGTTACAACCGAACTCTTCTTCACTTCTCTGGAGTCAACAAACGCTGCCGTTTATATAATTTACACATCATCAGCTTCTTTTACAGTTTTGACTGCATCAGTGTTTCACACAGGGTTCTGTGTGACACTGGTGGGTGGGCCTTGGACTCTCTAGGGGGTCGTGCCCCCTGGAAGACAGATTAGTACATTTCATAGTAGAAATGCATTAATCTGGTGCACTTTGAGAGAGAAATGAGGAGGACAGAACTTTGAAGAACTTTGTGCTCCTGTAAACAAGTTGTGCTCTAGCAGGGATGGACTGTAACAAAGTACATTCAGGCTGCTCAACTACTGCACTAAAGTATAGTTGAGGTGCTTGTACTTCACGTGACGGTATCTCTGGCCATAGAGTCCCTCTCCATTGTTGATATAAATCCACTGTGGAATCATATGAAACATTATAACCTCATAATCATTATCCTTGTTGATTTTGGGGTGAACTTTCCATTGAAGGTGAACTTTGGTGGCACTCATTAGCCTTCCACTGCAGTGGGTCAACATGTAGAGCAGGTATCTGAGCCAAAACGAGGCCCGAATGGAAATAGGCTTGAAGAAGTTGAGGTCTTCTATTCAAGCACGAGACGGTTGCATGTTCGCAACATCAGATATTCTTTTTAAACAGAGAGCACCGGTGAAACACCAGCTCCTGCAGAGAGTATTGCATTATGGGTTATTTGTAGCTGCAGTTTTTTTTAATATATTTGCTAGGCTAATTAAAATCAAGGTGTCAGGGGTTGTTTTCACCGTGCCATTTAGGATTATTTCATTCTGTCAAAAACCCTTCCACTGTAATTACATGTTCTTAAAAGATAATGCGTAGGAAAGTGCTCTGCGTTCATTTGATCTCATGATAATTAAGGGGAAGTTTAAAGAGGAACTCAGGGGTCCAGAGGCTAACTGGAGGTGGCCATAAGATGCTCCTCCTAATAGGACATGATTTACTGCTGCCTGCTACCAGCACAGTGCTAACATTAAAACCTCCAGTATGAACATATGCCATTAATCAGCTGTAAATTATAAGAATTAAGTTAATATGTCTAGTAACTACCACTGCCTATGCTCTGTTAATTTCTCTAATCCTGTGTGAAATGATTCATGCTTGTTAAAGACGCACTGATGTACTTAATTAAAAGATTGATTTTGCCGGGGCCTTATAAACTGCCTGCCGCTTTAATTTGCTCACCTGAGCAGAGCCTGAGATTAGCCGTGCTGTGTGGCTGAGCGGTCTTTTACTGCTGAACCAGCTGCTGAGCTGCACCTTGCTCTCCCCGGCCTTATAAATGACTGCACAGACACTACTTTAAGGCAGAAATAAGGAAATCATCTTTTGTTTGGTGGTGCAGTAGCAGGAGAAATGGCGAAGGTCCGCAGGAGCCAATTGGCAGCGTTCTTGCAGTTAGCATTCTTAACGATAAGTGCCCCATCTGGCGAGCGGTGGCCAGCCAAAGGCGACAGATGGGATTGTTTTCCCAATCTGTTTAAATATGTTGTCGAATTTTCTTCCCCTTTTAAACCCTCCCCAGCAGCTCCCAACGCTCACTAGCTAGCAAACAAGAAGGGGATGTTTGATTTCTTATTTCCTTTCATGCTCCGTTCAGTCTCCTGCGAGGACAAAACACACGTCAGACCCGTGTAGGAGACGGGAGTGTGCTACGACCGTCCAGCACCGTTTAGCTTCCACAGACAGAGTGTGATCGCTGCTCCGGCATGTTCAGCAGTCAGGTTTAGTGCCACAGCGTGACGAGCTGTGGAAGAGGTGACGTATTGCTGCGAGTCGGGCTTCATGTGTTGGAATGAAGAGCTCAGTGCTTAGGGCATAGAGAGGGCTGGATTCCATTCAGCTCTTCTATTCATTGATTGGAATGAGTGCCACTATACAAAGACATAGGTTTGGATATTCATCACTAAACAGCATCATTCAAAGTCCAGTGAAATGGACGTCTGAGCGTCTCTAGCTTCTGTACTGTGACGTATTCCCAAGTAAAAATGAATATTTAGGGGATTTAAATCAAACCCTTTGCTTTTGATTGGACTGATGCAAAGTTGGTGGACTTGGCTTCCCCCCTCCCCCCCCCCCCCCCCTCCCACACACACACACACACCCACACACGCACGAGCGCGCGATTGGCAATACGATTGTATTTTAACATTTCTTTGTACATTTCCTTTTGTACACTTTAACTATGTGAACAATATGATCAGGAATGTGTCTTTGAGTTAAATGTTTGTGTTTTGCAGAGAACCAGAGGACAGAAGAGGAAGAGGGTTCCCATGTGTGAAGACAGAGAAGATAAACTGGAGGTTTGTCCTAGCCTACATCTTAATGACGTACTCAAGTTCTTCATCAACCACTTCAGCTCTGCACTTTACCGTCACTGACCTTTGCTGTTTTGACTGGATTGAATGGATTTCAGACTATCTCAATCAGTCAGAAGAACAGTCTTATTTTCCTTGATTCATTTATTTATCATGTAACAAAAGTCACATATAATAGGAAATACCTCCAACTTCCAGTTGCTTCCTCTTCATAACCAACAGCTACTGTTACATTCATGGGGAAAGGAAGCAGCTTTTTGAACTCATTATGACACTTAACAAAGCAAATGTTTGGTATATTAACTTGATAAATATTTAAAATACTTTAATTGAAGTCGATTGATTCACTGTTAACTAACTGTGTCACTGCTGTCAGGCTACTATGGGAAGAAATAGTTCAAGAGGGACAGATGTGTTTGTGTGAGCTCTGGGGTTGGATCCAGGAGGTGTCCATGTTAGCTCAGTTTGGGTTTTGCACTGGAACTATTACTTGACGAGCAACAACCTAGCACAGTGACTGTATTTTCCTGAAGTATGTCACGACAGTGAAGTTGCCAGGTTTGGTACCAACTTGTCCGCACAGAGACCAAAGCCAAAACCTGTGCTCCTCGACCGCATCTGGGCAACATATGCTGTAGCCACAGAAGAAGAGGGTGGATGGATACACTATCATTCATCAGGAAATAGATCCAACCAGAGTTGGGTTGATTTTCCTTAAACGTGAACTGGCATTTGTCATTATGACACGTTCTGGCAAAGTAAAAAGTAGCATAGATCAGCCAGTGTTTGGCTGAATGTCAAACCAGTTTAAAAATGTTTACAGTGGCCCAACCCTAGTTGTATCTCATATATCAAGCTAAAACCACAAATGGATGTATTTACAGTTCTGCCCGTGTAGAGCTTAAACACACCAGATACACGGTGTTGATTTGACCTTTAGAGGTGTTGGTGTATTTTTAGAATAATGCACAGAACCATGCAAGCTGTTTCCCTCTGCTTCCAGTCTTAATGCTAAGCTAGGCTAACCGCGTCCAGACTCCGGCGCTGTACTTAACCCAGAGACATGATTGATGTCACTCTTCTCATCTTTCTCACAAAACAACAACAAAAGTGTCCACAGAAGTCAGTAATTCTTACTTTTTTCTATAAACAAAATGTACACCTTCAAAAACATGTGAATGATGTTTTAATCACACAAAACAATGTTACACATCAGTTCCTTTAAGTGGAGAAAGGTCCACTGTGAAGAATCCACACCCCAACGTTCATGAATTGTGTTTGTGAAATGATGCTCTGGCGTTTTCAATACGTCTCTGTCTCTCCACATTCCTTTTCTTTTCTTTACATCCCGACCACCAACAAGTGCTCAAACAGCCCTGGATTCTAATAAGCCGTGTTTCCATAGGAACCACTACCACGGGAACGCCGACAACGCCAATCTGCAATGCAGAAAAAACCCAAAGCTGACGACACGAGGACCGAATGCACAACATGCAGAGGACCGGGCGACAACGAGAACCTCGTGAGGTGAGGGAGAGAGTGTACAGAGGGGGGGGTTATCAGACACGCTCTGTGTGAGGGGGGGGGGGGTCTCGTGAGGCAGCCATATCCTCCTGATGATTAAAGTTCAGTCTTCATTAGGCTGTGGCCGCCTGGGCTCTGCAGGATGAGGGGGCTGAGGGTATCTCATCCATAGGCCCCCTGTATTGACCTGCCACATACATTTGCACAGTTCATTAAGGCGTAATGAACTGCACAATTTATTCTGCTCCTTTCTTGGGATTTCAGGTGTCAGCATCTAATGAGCAGGTTCTTTTCCTTTGACATTAGAATTCTGTGAGAATGCATATTAAAAACAAGTAGATCACAGCAGACACCTCGTCAGAACATCGTCATGTGATGAATGTCTTCACATGAATGGCCTTCATGTATTTCATCACTGTGGTATTATAGTATAGAATAACTTGAACTAGTTCATGGCTTTTGAATTGTTCTGTTAAAACATAACTCGTAGTGGCAGGAAGCTTTTCAATCCGGCTTGTGTTAAAAAGGCATTTGTTTCTTTTTGAGCATATTTTATCATTTTGATTCATCTTCTTCAATTGTGATCTCCTCCTGCTTTAGTTTCCTGTTGATACAAACCAAACACTTCCTCCATGTTCACCTGTTGTCTTCATGAATTCAAGTAGTGTACATTCTGCAGCACTAATTCCATCCCAACATCAGCAGAGTGTTGCCACACTCACCACTCTTGTGCTAGTTTGACTGTTTTATAGAAATACTACGGTCACACACTTTACAGCCTTCCACTGCACTTTGTAATCGCTGTTAAGCTTTGGTCAGTTCCAGCATCTGAAAGCACCTGATCCTCTAGAGTTCAAGTGATTAGTCAATCACAAGAACATGACCTGCCACTCTTTTGATAGTTGTATCATCATTATTTTTTAAGCAAAATGACAAACATTTTGTGAAGACGTTACATTTGGCTCTGGAGAAATGTTCTCTATTTACTGACATTTTATAATCCAAACAAATAACCAATTGATGATTAATAATGATTTCAGTGCTCGATACCATTTAAGGAAAGAAACCCGGCAGAAGTATTGTTTTCTGTTGGGCTCTTTTTTAGATTAGTGGAAAGAAAACCTCCAAAATACACATTTAGGTGTTTATTTCACTACTTTGTCTATTTGTGTCTGTACATTTCTCCTAAATTCACCAGCAGTCACCATTATATACTGCCTCATTTGTGTTATACAAAAATAATTGCCCTAATGTAAGTCATCAATTGGGGAAGTTTCATGGTGATATCTACTATTTAGATTTTACACTATGTAATTGTACAATACATAGGCCGGAAATCTCCACTTCAGCAGCACGTCCATACAGTGAACTCTCCAGTATTATTTATATCTATGTTCTGAAGGTTTTGTTCACATAGCATTCATATTCTGATTCATACAACAACTTATAAACAGTGATGCAAAGAGATATTCAAAACTCTCTCTGTAAAAACCCTGATTCTAACATGTCAACAAAATGAAACAAGAATTTTGAACCTGGCTTCATCCTATGTTGACATTTATGTTCTGGAAATGTATGCAAATCAGCACCTAGATTTTCAGATCGCAAAACAGAATCACCATAACCAAGAGGTCATTTCACCACCCACCATATATCACCAATCATTTGTCCGTGCATGCTCATTATCTGAGACTCAGCCATTTCTTAAAAACTGGCTTTTATTCAAGAGTTTGTTTTCTTTTGCACTACTTCATGAACAGTGGACACGATGTCCATGGCAAGAGCAGTGTCATGGAGATAGATGAAACAAGTTGTACGTGTTGCGGGTCGGGGTGTGAGGTGTGCTGCCCTGACTCTTTCTATCTTTGCATTGCACAGGTTGTGAGAGCCGGGGCAGCCAGCTCACCTCCCATAGAAACTGGGGACCGATGACCGTTGGCTTAGAGACAGAGAGAGGCAAATTGAAGCGTTTGAAGAATGGCGCTCGGGTCAGACTGAAGATTGAGACCGTCACATCGCCCCGCAGCCACCTCTGATCCAAACTGGACCAACAGCTGTCCAACGGAAATTGAGCGGGACTGTCTGAATCCAAAACATGGAGTCGGTCATTTTTGGTTAATGTTGGACTCTTAACTGCTTTTACACACTACGAGTAACTTGGTTGATTGTTTTTGTGACCCTTTGTGGCTCAAGTTGCATCTATGCAATTTTCTGCATCTACCAAGTTTTGACCAAGTAAGAAAAAGTTATGTTTTTTATACAATTCATGTATTAAACCATTCTGGCAAATAACCACAACACCTCTCTTGTGCTAGTTAGGTAGCATTAAACACAAATTTGTCAAATGAGTGATTCGTTTGACTTGGAGCCAGCTGATGGCCGGACTGCTCCGAATTTAATTAGTAGGACATTGAGTCATTGGTATCTTTACTTAATTACTTCCTTAATGTGATGTATTTCCTCTAGAAATAAGATGTTGGACAATGAGGGATATATCAACTATGAAGAGGAAATCAGTTTGATTTGATACACTCTTAGAAATAATGGTTCCAAAAGGGTTCTTCCTGAAGGGCTGAGGTTCTACCCACAACCATTTGCTTCTGAAGAACCCTTTTTTGATAAAAGTGTTTTTCATGGGCTCTTACGTTACTTTACTTTTTGGAAATACATAATTCTTCAAGGATTATTCCTACCCCACACCCCAAAATACCATAGCTGTGGGTAGCTCTGCACCACATCAGTGCCTGCTCTTTAGGATTCTCATGAAGTACCCTGGGTGGGATCTATATGAAACCCTTGGAATATAGAAGTGCTTTATGTAGAACCCTCTTGGTCGGTTCTTGTTAGCACCCTTGGAAGGTGGAAAGGTTCTGGATAGAACCTCCAGAGAGGGTTCTGGGTGGAGCCATTACTCCATAGCGGGGTTTGTGAAAGGTACTACCTTCATGAAAGGTTCTACTAGGTTTTTCTTCTGGGACAAGCCATCAAACCCTATCTAGTTCTAGTTAGCACCTTTATTTCTAAGAGTGTAAGGCGGGCAGAAAGGCAGGATTCTTCGTTTTTACAGTATACCCACTAATGAACCACGGAGACCACTGAAGATGCACTGTTTTCCACCAAGAAGCTACTTTCTAAAAAAGCTAATTTCATGAGATCTTAAAGATTGTGTTTAAATCTGGCGGTAGAGAGCAATAAGTTTGTCCAAAGCTGACGCGCTTCTTGATTGCTCACATGGCAGCTGAGCCCCCCTCTTGGGAGACATGAGTGGAGGACTCTTGGCTTGGTGGCCATGTTGCTCACAGTGCGAAAGATCAAAGAGCTATAAAAGGCAGAAAAGCTGCTGCCCTCAGTTGATTTGTGCATCTTCTGACTTCGCACGCTATCACAAATAATTCCTCTCTTTGCCTCTAGGTGCTCACCTGCATCCAACATGTGTGTGTGAATTATTTCAGATCTCAACTCTCAGTACCACTTCTGATCAGTACCGATCAGTATTATTGATTGAAGTCGTCACCCTGCGCATTTCAGTGTGAATTTGGTTAACGGACACACTTGAACCCAGGCTCTCCCAGACTTGAATGTTGTGTTGTGTTTTCTATGTACATAGAGGACCCGAAGTATTAAGAAAAGTCACTGTTTCTGGTTAATGAATGCTACTATATAGCATCTGTAGTTGAAACAAACTAGGTTAGTTAGTGGTAGTAGCACTTAAATATTAGTCCAAATGTCTTTATTATCTTTAGGCATTTAGGTCTTCCTCTGTCTCCATATCTTCAACTGACACGTCCTCAGAAAGAAGCCCAGCTTTGTCTCCATGTCCCTGGCGGCCCATCGTCCATGCCGTCAAAACAACAGCTGCTTGCTGCTCTGTCAGGGCTCATGACAAGTGTCACACTCTGCCCTCATATGTCACTCTGCTGCCTGTCCAGGGCTCTATATGCATGCTTTTGGGAGCAGTCAAACCCATGCAGTTTACTGCTTTTTGCTTCTCTGGAGTTTGTCCAGACCCAAATCCACACTGGGTCCGTCTTTAGAGACGATACCTCGGTGCAGAACGACTTGCTGTTTCCTGACCAGTCCTTTCCCATCACTCATGCTCATGTAAATAATGTTCATAATGTAAAATAAGTGATGTGGTCTTGTTAAATTTGAACACCAGGTAGCTACGTAAGTGTGACAATGTGTACAGTATTTATTGAAGAGGCCAATCATACATTTCTGTGCCTACATACTTGATTATATCACATAAGCTTGTGTTGTGAAGAGTGAACTCTGACTTTTGACGTAGTCTTGAAGCGACTACCATGTGTTCTTTTGATGGCCAGACATTCGTTCACATTTGTTTACACCCAAGCTTTTAGGGGAATATTTCAGATTAATTGTGTGCTGTATTGTGATACTGTATGAAGTAAGAATGTGAATGTTGCTGCTGTTGTGTATGTGAAGTGTCTCAGCCTCTGGCCTACAGCTCTTTAAAATGAAGCGGAGCTTTAATAAACTCTTGACTTTTTCACCTTATTGCCGCAGTGATAAATGAGTGTCAGCCAGCTAATTAATTGTTCTAAAGGTGCGGCGCCGGCAGTCCGTTTATGCGTGTAATGCCCTCTGTCATCTGTGATTTATCACCTGGGAAGTGGCCTTCTTGTTGGGGGGGGGGGGCTCCAAGACAGAATCTTGCTGCTCAGCCCACATACAACACAGTCTAGAACAGAGTATTGAAGCTGCTGATTGGAAATACCTTGACATTTTATTTTACATCGAAGTATAAACGTACAGAAAAGTCCAAGTTGTCATGTCTGAAAAAGACCCGAGACCATTACTGAGATATGGAACTCTAAAGCTGTCAAACAATAGACAACCAGAGAAGCGTTGGTCATGGGGCTGGACGGTTCAGTCTATTCATTCTGTTTAAAACCAGTATGTCTGCATAGATAGCAAATAAAGATTAGGCTACACCTGGTTGCACATGGTAGCTTGACCAACGGCACACTAGCAGTAAGTGTGCAAGAGATGAAATGTTAAAGTGCCCTCTCATGCGCATGCCAAATTCCCTCTTTCACAGCTGTTGGCAGCTGCGAGGCCTGTTATTTAAGGTCGTTTCAATCGATTTTTCCCCCCAATCGCATTTGGTGAAGGCCCCCTCTACCCGGCCTCTGACTGGCCAGCGCTTGCTGCCTTCTTCACAGAATTTGTTAAAGTTACTGCTAATGTACAAGATTGGTGGAAGACTGTTGGGGTTAATGATTTCAACTGATGTGGATGTTTTCATAACAATAGCAGCCTTCTTGTATTCTGCTCTCAGATCTAATTACAATGTCCTAATTATGGGAGATTTTTTTATTTATATATATAATGTTGCTGTGCCTTTGCCTATATGGAAAGAATAAAATAACACATCTGCATGATATTTAAATATTGATGTGTCATAATTAAAGTTGGCGTTAACCTTAAAGGCACATTGTCTAGGAATTGGGCCGTCTAGCGGTATGGTTGCAGATTGCGACCATATGAATAAAGCTCCGCTCACTCCTCCCTTTTCAAGACGCCGGTAACGTGAGCCGCCGAGTGCAAAGCTGTTCACCTCGCTAACAGGCCATCCTCACCATAATAACACCACTTTATTAGTAACGGAAGCCACGTTCAAGTAACGTAACAATGCGAAAGGCCTCTCTCTAGAGCCAGTGTTTGTTCTTTACGTTCAGGTCTGCTGTAGAAACACGGTGGTGCAACACGGTTAGATCCGTAAAGAGGACCCGCTCCCTATGTATATATGAAGGGCTCATTCTAAGCTAACAAAAACACTATGATACTTAGTTCAGACAATTATAGACTAATGAAACCATAGTTATGCATATTATATTACATTTCTGTTCATGATCAAACATTTCCAATAACTCCAGAGTGTTGTGAATTCCAAAAGTCAATGTTTATTGAAAAAAGATCAATGTAATCATTTGCAAAATCCACAGCATGGTTTTATTTAAATGAATATTCTGCTCTAATTCATATTTGTTAGTGTTTAGACTCAAAAACAACATTTTCACTGCACAAGAAGGCACCCACCAGTATCACCGGGCAGTCTAACAGCACCATACATTACATTGATAACACCACAATAACAGAAATATATTTGGGCTACAACACTTTTATTGAAGATTACTCAAGTCGTTACCAAAAAATCAAATCATATTTATCTGCATTTGCTTGCCGCTTGGCTCTCCATCACTACGTCATCACTTTCATATCAAAGAAAGATGTCAAAAAAATTGCCAGTTTAAAAGCATTCAAATTTGATTTATTAAGACTAACTCATTGAATCAGATAAATCATTTTATTCAAACTGAGGATTTAGTTTGAGGATGTTTTAAAATGATTTTGAGGGTGATGACATCAAATATGACGACAGACATTGAAAGCTTTATTCGAAAACGTCTCTAGAAGCTTTGAATGTAAAAAAAAAAAAAAAGGACATTCGATACAACCCTAAAAGATTTAATCATGAATACTATTTCATGTAGATCACATCAGAATTGAACCACTCTGATGATTTTTCATGAACAACAACGGGCCATTGAAGAGAAAACAAAAGGGTTCATCGCCTCAGGATCATGAATGGAGTAGATCTCAGTCGATTTCGTGGCAGTCTGTCATTAATGAGATGTCTGTGTCTAAAGTTGACATCTTGGCCTGAGATTGGTGCTCGACAAAAGTATCATTCAGTGTCCGAAATATTAATGCTTCATCCTCTGGAGTGCAAGACTGTGATCAGTACATTTCATTTAAGCCTGACACTTTGATGTTGATCAGAGCCTCACCAATGCAGTTCTGAGACCAATACTGACATTTGTACCTGAGAGTTAAAAACCAGAACAACAATGAATTGGTAGAAATAACTGATAGCTAAAGGAGGTCACTGGAAACGTTCTGAATCATCCACATCATATTCCGTGGCAGGAGCTGAGTTAAGGCTCATTACTGACCTGAAATGGTGTTTGACAAAACATTCTTAGCACAGGGGCAACTTACTGGACATCTTCTGCAGCCGTCAGTGGATCTTTTCTCTTTGTCAAATTGCCAATAGTGAGAAATATTGCTGTTGGTCAGTTTTTGACAGACGAAAGAGGATGGGCAGCCTAGTGAACACATTTTAACCCTACATGTAAGGTGTGCACATGCAAACAACTTAAAACGGATCTGATTTAAAAAAGAATTAAAACGATGGCAAGAATCCAACTCAACAAAGTAACAGAGATCTTCATCAGGCATTATCAAATCACCATCACAAAACAGACACAAACACATTCATCGCTCAGGTGATCTGTATGATTGAGAGTCAATCTACTCCCAGGTCGGCCTGATCACAGCAGAGCTGAAGGACGCTGTGTGATACTGCCACATGGGGGACAGAGGTCCAGCCTCTGTGAACAAGGAGCTAGAAACATCAATGTTAAACAAGCATATATATAATGTAACATCAAATAAATACTACCATCCAGGAGAAACAATGAGTCAATTAGTAGCATACAAAGTAAAGCAGATAAATTAAATATAGTAAATACAAAATGTATTATAGAATAATATTATTCTCCCAAAAGGAACACAGGCATGTTCACCGTAGCAAGCTTAGTTCAGCTCAGCCCTTGTTCTTTAAACAATAGTGGCAGAAGACAGAAAGAGAGACATTTTGGTTCGTGGCATCTCTGTGAGACGGAACCAACTCACCGTGGTGAACTGCACCCGCCCCGATCCCTCATCCCCCACCCTGGGGTCTTTGGGGACCCAGCAGCAACCGGCAAACCAGAGACCGGCTCGGCTACAGCTGGCTTCTGTTTGGGATGAGACCGGGGCCAGGAGGGGAGGGGCAAAGAGAGACAAAGCTAGCGCGAGGGGGGGGGGGGGGGTTCTGGAAGGCAGTAACCTTTCCGATGATGAGTGCGTTTCCCATTACTGCTCTGACACCGGATCCGGGGAGATGATTTAATGCCGGCATTTTGTTTTTGCTGACTTCACCCTTTCCCCCCCCCCCCCCTCTTAAAACACAAAACAAAACAGCAGGGACTGGGGCTGTGTGGGAAGTGTGGCCAAGCAGCTAAAATCTATTACTCCCCAGCTTCTTCCCCCGTCTCTTTATCCCACTGATTCTGCCACAGTGTGTGTCCGCTCCAATGCTTCCTGAGGAACACGCTCTCCCCTCTCCTCCTCCTTTCTGTCTTATGCTCTTTTAGCTGCACTGGGTTGCGTCCTACCCCCTTTTTTAATCATTACATACTGAACATGAGCCACAAAGCCCTGTGGGTGCCTTATATCTTAATTGATAACCTCGTCATACACTTGTTTTAATGGAGTTGCAATGGGCCACAAGCTGTTTGTATCTCTAGTGGAATTTCTGTAGCGAGGTACCAATAAAGAAGACTAAGTCTCTCACCGGGTCAGACGTTACAAAACTCAGGTTTGTCCCATAGAGTTGAGGGCACAGACCTGCCGCCGAAATCGACTCTTCTCCAGGGTTGTACCCAGCTCACCGGGGCCCCCTGCTGGAATTAGAAAGAAACATGCCTTCAGTCACATACAAAGCAGGTGGAGTTGTAGAGATCATTCCCCTTTCCTTTCCAGCTGTGAATGAGTTGTGTCCAGATGAACTAATAAAGCCAGCCGCTCTGACTTGGCTTTCACCATAGGTGCAACTTCAGCAGTCCATTAATTTCTTCGCTCCTCTTGTAAAACAATGGCTCTTTTCTAATGCTGTAGTGACCCAACAGTAAATCAGCAGGCTCACAACGTCCAATAATCCACTCCTTTCTATGGAAAGACACCGGCGGCACACTTTGTCATGGATGACAGTCAATGGCTGAGTGCTTTGTGTCATATTGATTTCTGTCACGTGGCCACTCTCAAGGTAATTGCATTGCCCACTCATGATAAATTCATTGCCTTGTTTCAGCCACTTGGGCTCAGACGCCAGGGCTGCTGGAGAGAAAATACGTTTTTAGGCCACAAACCCACCGTCAATACATGGACCCATGACTGTGGGTACAAAGCAGGTGGGAAGTAACAACCCTCAATAACCCTACAGCTTCTGTTTCTCATCATTAAGGGTATTTAGCTCAGCACTCAGTTTGTGTTTCCCCATTGTTTTTAGCAGCCTGCTTTGGTTTTGAAGGACAGGAGAACATGGGAGCTGATGCCTTTCTACATCTCTGCTCCTCAAGGGGTTCAGACAGAGAAGCTAATCAGGACAGACAAAATGATCGAAACTCGTAAAAACTTCCGTCGTCACTCACATTCAACTGAAACACTAACACTTAAAGCAAGACCGTGTCACTTTTAACAGAGGGAATTCTTTATCTTACAAATCAAAACTCAAAAGAACTAAAATGTACCTTTACTCAATCCAATAAACTCTGGTTTTGTTGCTATACCCTTACATAGAATCAGAAACAGCAAGTATGCTTGCACATACGTGGAATATGACTATATATAGATGGGTAGATGAAGATACGTAAATGTCTGAATGTAAA